ATTCCATGCAAAAGAAAAGCAATTGTAAAGTACTGTGGCAGGACATTCCTGGAATTTTCCAGAGACTGCAAAGAATAATGTTATTGGAGGGGAGGGGGATTAAGTTTGAGGCAGGTTAGAGGGAAATTAGGTCAGAGAAGAAACAGGAAATCAGATTTCATCTCCCTTTCTGTCATAAATATGAAAACATCATCTAATTGGTATATCTTTTAATGAATCATTAACTTATTAATTCTTGGTTTACTTTTTGGGTTATATCTTCTTTTAAAAAAATTGTTATTTTTCTGTCCTATTTCTAGATCTCTGGGAAGATGAATTCACTTATTTTCAGCCTTCCTTTTTTTTTTAAAGAATACTTTTTTTTTTTTTTTAGATTTATTTATTTATATAAGCACTGGGTACAGTCAGAAGCACTGGAGGGTGAAAGAATTCACCAGAGCCAGAGCAGGGAACAGAACAGGCAGACTGACAAATTACACTGCTGAGGGGAGCAGCAGGCGTGGCAGCCTTCCTTTTTTGACGACAATAAGCATAAGGGACATCTGTCCTTTGCATATCATTTTAGGTCTACTTCCAAGCTATTGATGCACTGTGTTTTCAATGTTATGTATTTATTATTAGGTTGTGATATTTACATGCCTTTTGAAAATCCACCAGACTATGTTTAGTTATTGAGTTTGTAAATTTCTAGATCTATAAATATTTTTAGCTACTCTTGTTATTATATCTTTTATTCCATTGATCTCAGACAAAATGATCTTGGCATATGGTCTTTGTGCTCAACTTTTGTGAATATTACATGTGAATTTGAAAGCAATATATATTCTTGCTCTTGGAGGTTCAAGCTTTAATTTCATCTGTACCAAACAGAATAATGATCCTCAAAAGAGGTCCAGATTGAATCAGATTCAAACCTGTAGCTTTCACATAGATCCTTTTGTGGCATTACCACTTCAACTCTAGGAGCTATACTTTGTAAATAAAATAATCACAAAGAATTTAACATACATTATAGAATAAACTACATGGAAATAGCAAAGCTGGGCATTGTAGTTGCTAATCGTACATACATATTTATTTTGGTTCATCTTGAACTCTGAACTGTTGTTGCATTGTGAATTAATCATGTTTGAGGCTGCTTCTAAAAATAATCTTTTGCTTATGAACACATATATCATGTCTAATTATTTGAAAAGGAAAAAATATTAATTCATTTAATTTAGAATGACAAATTAACTCAGGAGGCATTCTAGAAATAGGTGTGAAAGAAAGGAATTGAGAATTAATTAATTTTTTCATGAGAATGAAAAGGTTTGATTTCTCTGTATTCAAGTATCTAAATCTATATTTCATAAAATAAGTAAAAACCAGTCTCCTATTTTTAATATAATTACATTAATACAAATACAATATTTATTTGCAAGTTAAATATATTCCAGAAAATAAATTACAACTCGCTTTCTCCTTCATATTAGTAATTAAATAGTCTTGCAGTATCTATGCAGCAACCAAAATTTGACAGAGGAGATCTGTTATATGATAAAAGTATTGGATGCTGTTTTTTTTTTTTTTTAAGGATTTATTTATTTATACAAGCACTGGGTACAGTCAGAAGCATGGGAGGGTGAGAGAATTCACCAGAGCCAGAGCGGGGAACAGAACAGGCAGAGTGACGAAATACACTGCTGAGGGGAGCAGCGGGCTCGGCAGGAGAGGTCTGTCGCGCCATATGGGACCCTCACAGGCCGGCCGGGGATGGAACCGGTGCTGCAGAGGCTGTGGGCAGCTTCGCAGCCCAGTGCTCAACGGATGCTGGTTATTGAAGAAAAGCTTCAATAACTGGTTATAGAAAGTCTATGAATAAGATGACAGAGAAATTGTAAAGTGTCTTCAAACAAAAAAGCAAAGGAATATAATCCATTCTTTGTTTCCCTTAAGTAATAATAGGTATATTAGAGCAGAGTTTAATTACTCTAGGCAAAAATTATTCCTAATTGTGGAATTTTAGAGATTCCAGGTGTACTTTACATTTAATTCTACTGAGCTACTTAAGAATTAATTTGAATATCTGGCTGTTTTCACCTCTGTTTATAAAATCCTATTTTTAGATTTTAAAATCTATGAATAGTCCACCCATTTTTTATTATCAGTCCCCTTCAACTAACAACCACAAGGAACATATCTCTGTTTAAACAAGATAGATTTCTTAATGATTACAGTTGGTTTGAAACCTCAACACAGGAAACATGTTGCAGTCCAGTGAGAAGATGTGAGAAAGAACTTGTACATTTTGGGTATTGATTGAGTAATTTGGAAAAAGGTCTAAAGAAGCAGGGGGGGTTTGCTCTTGATTGGATATTATAGGAAAACGGATAATTTTATGATGGAGCCTATCAATAAATTTTGTGTACAGGAAGCATAGACTAGAATATGGATGGATATATAATTAATAAAGAAGTATTAATCACTCATTATGGCAGACAGAAGGACATGTTTGAGGTTATATGGGTGGATGTTTTGTGAGATTGTTTATATCCAATAGGAGCAAAGCATAGCTTAACTCTAAGCATTAGATAAATGTGTAATAACGCTGAAGCTTAACTGCGAGCCTTAGCTTTCTTCTTCAATAGCCAAAGTCCAGGGCTGCCTTTTCCCCACTCATATTAAATTTTTAGTACTAAAAAAAGATTCTCAGAAAAAAAAAAAAGAAAATGGAGCGTCTTTGTTACATAACCTCCTTTCAAAAGAAGTGGGTAGTTTTGAACAATTTTGAGAAAATTTTATGATCACTAATTTTTTCATTAGGTAAAATGCTAAGAATGCATTTCTTTGAAGACAAAGTATTTCTCCATTTTAAATTTGTAAAATAACTCTTCTCTCATATGAGCTATATGGTCACAGTAAAATTGTTTTTCAATAATTCTTCGTATTACATACCATTTCATAAGTACCCAGAGAATTTACCCTGAAGACTCTAGGAAATTGGGCCAGCCTTCTTAAGCTGATTTGTTGGTGTATTTCCCAGCACAAGGAGGATTTAGCTGGATGAAACAGCATGGCAATAGGTAAAGATTCATTGGAATCAAAAAAGAGCAAAAATGTCAGTGCTTAAGTACATTCCTTAAGGAAATTATTATCAACTCTCACCTTTGGGGAGCCATTATGAAAACTATAAGGAATATCAAGTGGATTTTATTTTTAAAACAACTCATCTTTGATTTCACATTGTAGAGAATAGTTATTACAGGTTTTGTTCCGACAGTCCATATTAGGATTAAGTAAGACATTTTGCTTTGCCTGCAAAAAGTGAAGCCAAAGTAATTCAATTTAATTACCTTGTGATATTTATGTGTGCTTTTACTTAGCAATATTTCAGAACTTTAATTCTGAGATGTAAGTCCACACATTTTCAATAGAGTAATCAACTGTTCAGTGCATTAAAAAAAGAAAACAATTGAGATAAGAATTAGACTTTACAACAAAGATTTATTATTTAAATTATTAAAATGCCACCTGAACCTGTACTAAATTAAGTGGAGTTATCCCCAAATCATTCTACTTCTACAGAGACAATAGTTCTCTTCACACCTGCATATTTACATAAAAACTGACACCTCAGATTAATCAAACATTACTCTTAATAAAATTTTTTGACCTCCCATGTCTAAGTTAAATTTCATTTTAGACAAAAATTATTATTCTAATTTAAGATAAAAATATTATTCTCATTTGGGATTAGTGCCATTTATAGTGACTTAGTTGGTAAGATCTGAGCAATTATTCTTCAAAATCAGACACTAAGAAAATACCCTAGAGAATATAGACCAAATAATTTATGCATTAATAGAGAATAATTTGATTTCCACTTTAGCAGGTGCCAAACTTATCAAAATTTATTTTCATTATTCAAATATTCATCAGTAAAATGTACATATTTTAAAAACTGCTAAATTTTTTGCAGGACCTATACCTTTAAAACTCTCTCTGTTAGAGTCTCCTGCACCACAGTCACTTCCTTAGGAGCAGCAGTGAATAGACTGCACTTTTGAGGTTTGAACTCTCAGACCTAGGCGCTAAGCTGGCCACTTAATTCTGAAGTTTGTTACAAGTTCAGCTGTTCCCTTCAATTGGTTGTTGTTGCTATTATTATCTAAATGCTTCCAGTGTCAGAGCTACTAAAGTAGAACAAAATAAAACAAAGCAAAAAAAAAAAACAAAAAACAAACCAAAAACAAATGACACGTTCCCAACCTGGGTTCTCCAGTTCTCCAGCAAAAAAAAAAACAAAAAAAACAAACGACACTTTCCCAACTCTGGGTTCTCAGAGTCGACTCTGAGATGGAAATCAGGGTTCAAGAAGTTTACTAAGTGGCTTTATTTATTTATTTATTTATTTTTATATTTTACAGGGACAAGCTTATTAAGAAAAGGAGAAAGCGAGACGAACCTGCACAGCCAGAGGCAAGCAGGAGAGCTGCCTACCATTTAGCCTTAAAGATTAACACCTGTTGTGGGAAGAGTTGATGGAATGTGGTCAGAGGGAGAAGATGGACTTTGAGGAGGTTTAGGGATTAGAGACTGAAGCTGAGATATTCCTTCAGCATTTCCCCAGTTGGGGTGAGGGCGCCTGGCTTTGAGACCACCATCCTGAACAGGCATCACTTGTAGTCACCCTAATATGGACATGTGACCTCAGTAAGGTCCCACTTCTGAGCTGAGACTAGCCTTAAAGTCCGCAGTACTTTCTGAAGGTGAATCTGGGTGCTCTAACAGCAAGCATCCAGTGCACAATGCAGTTAGATTTTGTACTTGGTTCTGTTAGACTGAGGGGCACACTGGCACCCCCAAACTTTCACTGCTAAGGTCTGAAAGTTGCCAAAAGTCGAAGTCACTATTCAGCATGGAAGCACAGGAAGAGTGTGAAAAGGGCCAGGTAAGTCTGGGACAAAAGGATCAAAATCAAGAATACATTAAAATAACGGCTGCCATTGTTGACTTACCCATATGTTTCTCTTCCACATGTCTCTTCTCCACATATCTCCTCCATGTCCTCCAAATCTCTGGTGCACATCCAAATCTGAAAAGCAAGTGAGACTTCTTTGTGTGTCTTCCTCAGGTCTCATAGATTGCACCTGCCTTCACCTGGTTGCTTAGCTTGACCCCTTAGTTCCCGGTAGGTAGTTCAAGGCAGCCACATGTAAATGGGGGCAGGAACATGGTACCTCCCCTTTTATGGAGATGCCGCTGTTATGGTTCTGTGAACATATATAGTCCCTTTGCCTCTGATCAAAATTGCCTTCCTAAAAAGAAAAATTACAATATGCTTTAAAAAAAAAAGAAAACGAAGGACTACCTTGTTTTTAAACTATTTTATGGGAGATATAAACAACTGTATTTCGCTGACTTCCTGGTATAGGAATTTAGAGTATGTATATGTTTAGGCTTCAACTACATTCCTGGAAGCATGAAAACTTGTGTTACATTGTTAATAAAATTCTTTGTGTCCCTTTGAGGTTGACAGAAGCATCAGAAACAAACCTGCTGACTGCTGAAGAGGATGCCTCCTGAGAATACCAAACTTTTTTTTTTTAAGATTTATTTATTTATGCATACAAGAGCTAGAGTACAAGCCAGAGATGCAGGCGGTGAGAGGATTCATCAGAGAAAGAGTGGGGAGCAGAACAGGCAGACTGACTGAAATACACTGCGGAGGGGAGCAGTGGGCCAGACAGGAGAGGTCTGCTGCGCCATGTGGGTTGCTCACTGGCCAGCCAGGGATTGAACTCTTGCTGCAGAGGCTGCAGATTGCTTCATAATGCAGTGCTTAACCCCTTGTGCCACTGTCCCTAGATAGTAGGCTCCCAGGACAAGCTAGGGGTGAAGGTTAACAAAGTCCTTAAAATCGGCTATGCAAATTTCACAAGGCTGGGAACCAGAGCGAGGGAGAGGGGCAGGGCTAGCTATCTTTATGTCAAAACAACCTAACCCCAAAGTGAGAAATACCACCAAGAACAATGACAAATTCCACTTAAAAACTTTATAAAAGGCCACCCCTCTCCTTTAAAAAACACAGCCTTTGCCACTTGTGTCTATGCAAGCGCCACCTTTTCCCAATAAACTTGCAATGTGTACTGGTTTCAGTGACCTTGTTGAATTAATACTCAAAGGGATCCAAGAACCCTCACTTATCTCACATCAGTTAATAGACTAGAAAAATAGAATGAAATGTCCTCAAAATGGTAAAAGTAAAATAGGTATTTGTGTGTCAAAAGTACTCCATTTTCCCACTGTGTCAGAGTGCATTAAACTGTGCTTTCAGGATTACAGAAAAGTCAAAGATTACAGAAGAATCGAAGTAAGTAAACAATTAGTTTTTGTAGCTGATGAAAAATCCTCCGTAGTCATCATGGAACACATCAAGGAGCACTACTGAAAATATGGAAAACTTGGAGGTGTAAATTATATAACTTAAAGTCACTTTAAACTACTAGATATTTTAACAGTAATGAAAAACACATTTCTATTAATATAAAAACCTCAAGCTGTAGATGGTATATCATGTGATAGTTGAATATTTTGTAGCTCTCAAAAAATTGGTAGAAATTGGATTTTTAAAGCTACCTTAGAAAAAACTTTAATACCTTTTTTTAAATATCTTTTAATGCCTTTTTTACATGAAATCCTAATGTCTACCATTTCCATGAACACTAAATATTTCTCTTATTTGTTAAATGAGGTTATTGATAACAGTCCTGCTGGGTTATTATGAGATTCAATTATTTAACACATGTAAGTACTGAATACTATGCTGAAAAGTTGGAACTGCCGTACTCCATAGGTGTTAATTAATATGAAACTTTTATCACAGCATTACAAAAATTGCTGATATGTAGCACTTCATCCTGTGACATATTGGACAGTTTTGAAGTTCACATTTCTCCAGCTGAAGTGTTAGTCCAAAACAATTTAAAATGTGTGTATTTACTTTTATTTCTGGATATGGAAAAAATTCACAAGGCATGTACTTCAGCTATTGCAATTCACAATTCACAATTCTAGCAGTGTTTTACGTCTTAACTAGAATCAAATTTGTCCTCATTATTTTCCTAAGGTTATCATTGAAGGGAACAAGAAATTTGTTTACTAATATAGTTTATTTAAACATATTTTAGAAATTAAGTGTATTATTTCCTAATTATGGATGTTTGACTTAAAAAAATTGATTCCATTCTTTTGCCATTTCTTCTAGTAATGAAGAGTGGGACTAGAATCTAAGGTAAATAACTAATTTTGTAATGAAAGATGGCGGTATGAGTCCAAGTCAGTATAATTTTAATTATGCTTCTTTGAAACACAACTTATAAAACTCTGCATGGTTCTCTAAATTGCACTATTTGTATAAAAATTCCTTTCTTATTAGACATCTGATATGTGCTCTTCTTTATAGCAACATGTGCTCTTCCTTATAGAAATCCTTTCTCTAGGAAACTTTCTGCTCTTCTTAATATTTTTATATTAGACACTATGTAATTAGATTACTTAATTCCATGAAGCAGTTTTCTGGACATTAGACATCCAAAGTGAAATATGAGTAGTTGTCACTCCCAGGAAATCAGCTGAGTCAGATACATAGACAGAAATTTACGTGGGATCTAAAGGAATAAGTGTGGGCTAGACAATAATGCATGTAAATGTAGAAAGTATGTCTTCTAATAAGATTAAAGTGACGTTGAATGCTCAAAACAATTCCCTTATTTCAGTAAATAAGAATATAAAATTCTAACCAGAAGTTTATTAGAATTGCCTGAGGGGCAGGGAATGAAGGAAAGTGTTTGTTAAACATTTGTAGAACATCAACAATTTGGTGAGGGATTTATAAATCTGTACATGTCCCAGAAAAGGAAGGTATACCTTAGTAGGTTTATTTTATTTGGTTCTACAGTGAATGGTTAAAAGGAGAAGTTCTGGCTTTCAAAATGTCATTGTGAATTGTCAGTATAATTCTAATCCTGTACGATGTACGCACACATTTTATTTAAAATAAGCTAATGAATATCTGTTAATAACAGAGGAAGTCTACTTAGTTGAAAGTAGGGTGATTTATATCAATGTGAGTAACTTACCAATGTATGACAATCTACCCCATTCCTTGCATTGTTTATTGCATGTTATGTTCCATCACTCTTTCAATGTTCTATTTTTGAACTTATATCTAATAGGAGAACTTTGCATTTCCTCTGAAAAATCATCAAATAGCCTTAGCTAGAATATGAATTTAGCTTGATTGGGAATTATTTTAGATAAAATCTGTACCTTTGAAATATACCAGATGATTGCTTATAGTGGTCTGAGGTCTTCTTGATGTCTCATTTTTCTAATTGATTTATCTTAACTATTTCTTTGAAACTTGCATTATTATTATTATTATTATTATTGTTATTAAATTGACAATGTTACATATGGTATGTAATATATGAAATTTTAATTTGGTATCCATAGTGGTAGGGGGAAGGGAGAGTGAAGGTATTTATCATATGGAAAGAGAGAAAGAGAAGGATGATGATTCATGAAAGCAAAGAACAAAGATATTCTGTTAAAAGTTTAGTCCTCAGCTCCTTCATTTTCATTTCTCCTAGTTCTTAAGATATACAACTTTAATTTATGTCCTTATGGCCCAACTCTCAACATCTTTCTTTGCCTTGAGAGGCAAAGGTATGGTAGATGAGTATATATAGAGAGAAATAGGTTCCATGTTGATTATCCAAGAAGACCCTCTATAAAGAATAAACAAAGGTATACTTGTATATTCTTTTTGAATATTAAAAGGAATAAATTCATGCCAAGTACAGGCTTTTATTTTCGCTTTGCCTTCTTTTGCTTATAATTTAGTTAATTGCATTGTAAAAATTTGCTTCACTTCTATTTTCTAATATTTCATAGAATACTGTATATATATATATATATATATATATATAACACTGTCTTCATGCAAAGGTGTAGCAATGTTTGAGATTCAGTTTGATGCCATTTTATTGTATATCAGTCAATATTGAACAGGATACTGTTTATAGAAAATAATTTCCAGTGTCCTGAGATAAAACAGGTTGACTAGTATAGGGGGCATAAGAAAAGCACTCATTGGGGGAAAGAAAATTTAACCTCAGTAAATTATAATCTTCTGTAATTATTGTCTCTTGCTGCTTTTGTTTACATATCTTTGAATAGTGAACATAATTTGGTTTAGTTTTTTTATCCTGTGAACTTTTCAATTCCCCAAATCTCGGTAACTGTAGGTCAGAAAGTATACTTAGAGTATATTTAATTTAATTCTGTTGACTAGAACAATATCTTGGCTGTTAGAAATGATTCCACGTAGGAAGGATTCTGTAATGTGCCAATTGTTTTATTTTGATGTCGACATGCTGCCAGTACACAGAAAATGGAAATCTATTTTGTGAATATAATTGATCTTGAATGGGGTCAAATTGTTTACTTCATTCAAATATGATGCTAAATTAACTTGTTAATTTGTTCACAAGCATAAACAAACATCTCAAATATACAGTTCATGTTCATAAATTGATGTGTTAATGAATTTTCCTCAACAGGGTTCCATCACACAAATCCCTTTGGGTTTATTATCTGAAAGGCCTAATCTGTTGGAAACCCCTGGGGGGTGGTGAAGGCATGAGGATTATACATGGTTAGAATTATTTGGTTCCTGAGAACTATCCTTTGTGTGTTGGCAATTTTCCTTCAAGGCACAAAGCATCTTAGCTGAAAATGTACTTAAAGATTACTCTCAGTCCAAATTCAGGACAAGGAGCTTTTAAAAAAGGTAGAGTGAGTAACTGTGAGCATATAAGCAAAATAAGATTCTGAATGATTTTGGTGCCACTGTACAAATCAATATAATACAGATCGTTTCATTAAGTAAAAATCGAACTATCATATTTTGATTTTTTTTTCAAACCATAGGAAAGTAAAACTGAGCTAGGACATAACCAATTTTCAGATTTAATTATTGTTTTAACAATTTGCACATTAAAAAATTCCTTTTCACTCAACATTTAATATTTGAATTGCCTTACTAGCACTCAATATTTCTATATGAGAGAAAAAAATCTGTTCACATTTTCACTAAAGTTTCTGTGGAGGTTAATACATTTCCCCCTGCCAACATCTTTCATAGCATGGTCAAATTTATGCTTAGAGAATTACTTATTCATTGTGATAATTGGGCTGAATTAAGCAGAAAAAGTTTAGGGCACTGGAATTGCTCAGTGTAATGCAGTAAAAAGACATGCAAATCAGAAAACGTAGTAAGAGAAATAAAAATTTTATATAAAATGATCTCTTGGTAACTTCAACTGTAAATATGGAAAGGTTTAATATTTCAGTAATCGCTACGCTATTGTCTTTACCCTGTTATTACTCCCTCTTTCTATCAGTTGGTAGACTTTTAATGACATCTCAATCTGATTTTATAATTAGTATTCATGTTTGGTTATAAAAACTGTCAGCTGCTATCCATTTTCTATGCTGGAGCATGGCCTCACTGATTTGCTGTGTCTCTTCCAGTCTGTGCCTGTTCACAAAACTTCTTCAGTCATTAAGTACTGAAAATTGGCAACTTACTCTGCTTTTCTTCAATTTTTTTGTGGTAAATCTATAAATCATTGTACATCCTCAAATCTAGGGGCAGAAGAGTCACATTAAAACCAAGGAGCAGGATTTTTAAAACTTGGTCTTGAAAAATTAATAATTGATCCCAACAGGTGCCCTCTACCCCCACTGTTACCTGCTTTCTCTGGCAGTCTGGAGACAGGGCTCTATGTCAATCAGATCTTCCTATGGATTCCCTGGGAAAATATATGGTAAAGGGAAATTATTTTTAATTGGTGTAAAATTATATTGATGTCAAATAAAGACAATGCATTTGGAAATAATTTCAAGTCACTAAGTCCGAAAACCTAGATCAAAGATATTTACCCACCTAATCATTTTTTTATTTGTATCTTCAACAAATGATTTTTTAAGCTCTATTGTATGCAAGCCACAGTGAATCATGGGGTTTTCAACAGCTCTTTTTGTCAAAAAATAGCAGGTCCAAATGGACAATATAATCTTAGTATTTCAGTATAACTGTTAGTATAAAATAGAGGATAGAACAGAACAACCACTATACAATATAGCTTGTAAAAGATTATTTATTTAACTATTGAATTATAATGGTTTGGGAATGCAAACCTGTAATTATTCTCTGAAAGAGCTTCCTGAGAGTGTATTATAAAAACATATATGTATATGTTTTTGAAAGCAGTCAAAATAAACATAGGTATTAAAGCCTATAAAAGAATATGTATTATGTCAGCTTTTAAAACGTTTAAGGAAGTTGAGGTTCATTTATATATTACAAACAATTAAGAAATAGTTCTAATAGTATCATCAAAATATATTTATGCTAAAATGAATTGTTTTAATATAAATTCAAGTGTTAAGAATTTAAATTAAAAATTATAATACAGTAATCCAATACTTTAAATTTTAAGAGTTACAAAACTATATTAAGCAAAACATGAATTAGTTGTTATTGAATATTACATATATTCTCAATATTCACATATACAACTTAAGTAAAGGCCCAGTTTACAACATGATACATAAGATGTCTTCCTAAGGTGTTGGTGAGATCCATTGTCATAAACTGGAAACAAAAACTGAAAATTCAAAAAAGTAATGTTCAACATCACTTGTAATCAGGGAAATGCAAATCAAAACTACCGTGAGATACCATCTTATACCAGTGAGAATGGCACATATTAAAAAAACTAGCAACAACAAATGTTGGCGAGGGTGTGGAGAAAAAGGAACTCTCCTACACTGTTGGTGGGAGTGCAAACTGGTCCAACCACTATGGAAAGCTGTGTGGAGATTTCTGGACCTACTAGACATAGAGCTTCCATATGATCCAGCAATTCCACTCCTAGGTATTTACCCAAAGGACACAGAAACATCAATTCCAAAGAACACCTGCACCCCTATGTTTATAGCAGCACTGTTTACAATAGCTAAGCTTTGGAAACAACCCAAATGCCCAAAAATAGATGACTGGATCAAGAAGATGTGGTACATGTATACCATGGAATATTACTCAGCATTCAAAAAAGATAAACACTTGCAATTTGCAGCAACATGGATGGCGCTGGAAGGGATCATGCTCAGCGAAATAAGCCAAAAAGAAAAAGAAAAATACCGGATGGTCTCACTCATAGCAGGAATCTAGAAAACTTAAATAAGGGACCAGGAAAATGAATATAAGAAAGTGAAAATCAAAATCAACAAAAAACTATGAACCAGAGACACTTTTTGGGGGTGGGGGGCGGGAGGGGAGGGATTGGGGTCAGAATGGGGGTTTGCAATTGTATGGGGGAATATAAAAATAAAATTTATTATTTAAATAAAAAAAAAAAAGAAACAATGACTTCAAGTACTAGCTTTTAAAGTACAATTGAAAGACCTACTGGTTACTTTTCACTATGGAACCCACAAGACAATGGAATACTATTTGAAAATGCAGAAAGAAAATAACTGCTAACATAATATTCTCCACAAAGTGAACATTACTAAAAAATTAAAGATGAAATAAATGTATTTTCAGCAAACAAAAAAAAAGATTAATGGGTCATCAGTACTTCAATAAAAATATCATAAAGTAGATTTTTTTCAAATAGATGTAAGAAATCTAGGAGAGAAACCCAAAAATTCAAGAAGCAATAAGAGAAAGGACAAATAATAAATTAAATGAATAAATATTGAATCTACAAAATAAAAAATCTCTATTGCTATTTAAAATATATGTAAAATCAAAATGCACAAAACAATAAAAATAAATGTGGATACGATGCAAATTCAAAGTGTTCTTTTGGCTTTATTGGGAAAGGAGATAAAATTATATCAAATATAAATACATCTAGGAGTTATATTATAATCTTTAGATGACTGAAAGCTAATAAAAGGAAAACAGAACAGAAAAATAATGATTTCAAAGAAGGCAAGGAAGGAGAGAAAAAGTAATTTATGTATTTATTCAACATAAAGTATCTATCACCATGTAGTAAAATAAGCACAAATAGCCCATATGATTCAGCTCTAATCTTAAATCTAAGTTAAGACTCTTTAACATTATAGGGCTATCAGAATGAATAAAACATAAAACTCAGATAAATTCTTTTCATAAGAGACACACTTTATGTCAAATGACACAGAAATGTTAAAGTGAAGAATCAACCTAGTCTGTGAGGGGTGTATAAACTCTACTAATACCAGACAAAGCAGATGTTAAGATAAAACATTTTTTAAGAGAAAAGAAAGATTTTTCATAACAATAAAATAGTCCTCCAGGATGATATCACAATTCTAAATCTACATCTATTAAATTATATAACTTCACACTATATAGAGGAAGAAATAAAGATACACCAGAAGGAAAAGACTGACAAATCCATAATCACAGTAGAATACCCTCAATAGGTGATAGAATAAAGAAAGAGGATTTGTAGATGTGACATCCTAATAAACAAATTTGACCTATTTGGCATTCTTTACCAGTATATCTGCAGTTGACAATGACAGTGCATAGATTCTTTCTATGGGGCACTTCGTGGAACATTGTGGAACATTGCACATATAGCATTTATTGACATTGTAAGGAAATTTCACTGCATTAAAATTTCATACAAATGCAAATTTCATGGGATTGCAAGTTCTTTGACCACATTTATATGAAGTTACCAATCAATAACTGAAAGAGTTTAAAAAAATGAATAGCACATTTAAAGACATTAAGTACAGTTTATTTGTTAAATTTTTCAAGTAGATAAATAGAACTAAAACAGATGCTTTCCAAAATATTTTCAACATTTATGTGAAGCTTTTACCCCATCATTTCTGAATTAAGTTCATTTTATTTCAGGCATTCAGTTCCTTCTATTCAGGCACAGATGCAGCATCTTTCTTGACCATGCAGTGGTCAAGAAAATGGTCATTATGCCTGTTGAGATTTTTACTCTGCTTCTGGCTTGTTGGGTAATCTAGACAAGGTACTAAACCTAACTAAACTAGTTTTCTCATTTGTAATGTGGGAATAATGATGGTACTTTATTCATAATCTGGCTATAAAGATTGAAAAGATGATGCTGATGAAGTACTTAGCACATAGCAGAAAAACAAACTCTAAAAATTGAGTGGAGTGCATCCATACATGGTTTTTCCTGTTATTTATTCTCGACAGTTTCACAGAATGTAAATGACAAGGTACTTTTTGGAACTCAGAAGACATGCCTTGGGGCAAATATTTTTCTCACCACAGCACTGTAGTAATTCTTTTATCTCCTATCTAATGGATTTGTTTGCCTTCAGGAGAAGTTACATTTTTGAATTCATAGCAAAACTAAAATATTACAATACAGAACATGGTCCACTTGCTAGTTAAAATAGCTCAAGAACTACTTTCTTTTGTTTCTTCTGAGTGAAACAAACATCATGACTATTAGGGCAGCCTTAGAGTCCTCTGTTTCTTGATCAGAGGTTCAAAATGAGCTAGAGTATTGGTGGGGGTGGGAAGTGGGGGATAAAAACATTTGACCAAGATATTATCTCATAAAATAAGATGAACATTTGTTGCAAGAATTTTGATTGACTTTACCTATGGACTTCTATCTACAATTTTATATTTGACTATCATACTGTGAAATTGAAAAACTAGTAAATTTAATAAAGAAAGTTATAAAATCATGGGTGTGTCTATTATTTCTCTGCTTGAGAAACTCTGAAATCTGTTAAAAATGAAGTACTTCATTCTTAGTATAACATGATCTCTGTTCAGACAATTTTACTCTCTCGACCTAGTATAACATGAATAAAATCTACACTATTAAAAACTTCTAAATAATAAAATGCCCAAACATGAGAAATTTAGCATTTTTTAAAGCATCAGCTTGTATTAGTTTTCTATTGCTGAATAATGATGACCTCAGCTTTCATACCATCCCTAAGTTCACAGGTTTGTAGGTTAGAAGTCAATGGAAGTCCTGACTAAGTGTTCTGTTGGGCTCTTACAAACTAAAATCAGATTGTCAAAAGGGGTGAGTGCTTGGCTCCTGGTTATGGGGAAGAATCTGCTTCCAATTTATTCAGGTTTCTGGCAGAATTTAACTCCTTGAGGTTGTGGGACAAGGGCTGTTCTTTCCTTCCAAACTGTCATCAGTGGTCACTCTTAGCTACCAGTTGGCACCCACATCCGTTGCCATGTTACCCTTACCAGCTTCCAACTCAAAGAATTTCTCATATGTAGAATTACTCTTTGAATTTCTTTTTTCCTCTTTCTGTGATTTGATAAGACCCTGTAGAAATTTGCCATGTCTCATAGTCAATGATTTGAGAGCTTCATTATATCTGCAAAATCTCATCAAAGCAGTACCTATGTTAGTTTTTGATCAGATAACTGGGACAAGGTCTGTGCATACCATGATGGGAATTATGGGGGTATTTTTAGAATTCTTCCTACCTCACAGCTTAGATACTATTTTCAGTTACACAAATGGGGTTATTTTAGTTTTTTTTTATTTCCTAAAAAAATCACTAAGATAGCAGAAATGGATAGACACAATTTTATCTGTTATCAATTCACTGTAAAAAAAAAAAAAGTCACTCCAATTAATTGACAAAAGGATTCCAGTAATTTTCTCCTGGTTTTGTTTTGCTTTTGTTCATATGAATTGGTTATTTGTTACCATTTGTGAAATAGCCTATTATTTGTTATGCTTTACATGATTAAACTGAAAAGAATCAAAAACTGTCT